CTTTTTGTTCCTTAAACCTTTCTGCTCTCTTTATGAGGAACTCATCAAGCACAACTTTCTCAGTCTTCCTCTTGTCCCAGTTGCTGCTCCTTAATACAGGGTTCCTCAACCTCAGCAACTTTAAGATGGGGGGACTTCAACTTCCAGAATTCCCCAACCAGCCATGGGGAACTCTGGGAGATGAAGTCCACCCATCTTAAAGTTGCTGAGGTTGAGGAACCCTGTATTAAGGAGCAGCAACTGGGACAAGAGGAAGACTGAGAAAGTTGTGCTTGATGAGTTCCTCATAAAGAGAGCAGAAAGGTTTAAGGAACAAAAAGGCAATGTATGAATTAGCGTATGGACTCGCTTTGCCTTAGGATAGAAAGGAACGGTGAATGGTGTTGGTGTAAACTAGATTTAGCTGTGCTTCCTGCCTTTTCCTATTTCATACCTTTAATTGCTCGGTCACATGATTTCTTGCTCCTTTCTGCACTTTGTGTAATGTTGTCTATCCTGAAAGAGAACAGCAAGATGGGTACACCCGTGTTCACGACAAAAAACATTGATTTCTCCTTTTTGCCGCGTCGAACTACCTGCAGATGGTTCCCTGGAGACAGCAATAAATGAGAAGATAAAAAAGGGCTGCTTGTCTGCCTGTCTGCCTGCCTCTTTTAACAATAAAGAGATGTTTCCTTGAAACAGTGGGAAGCCTTGGTTTGATTAACAGGAGTATCATTAGGAGTCAATAATTTGGCAGTTTCAGTTTTTATGTATGTGTGGTAGGAGCAGGAATAGCCTCTGAGGGCTCCACTGCACTTACACAATCTAGTTTTTTTTCTTTTTCCCCAAGTTAGGAATTAAGACAAAATGCACCCAACCCAGAAGATGAACCGTCCTTGTAAAGTTTGTAAAATTACTCCAGTCTAGACTACACTCGCATTACTGGGTCCAATGTGAGACATTTACCAAAGATTGTATCAGTGTTTCTCAACCTCAGCAACTTCACGAACTCTGGGAGCGGAAGTCCAGGCATCTTAAAGTTCAAAATCAGAATCTTTATTGCGGTCAGTGACCAGTCCGGCACCTTAAAGTTGCTGAGGTTGACAAACACTGGATCATCTGACGCTGTCCTCAGTCCCAGAACGGTTTTTTTGGGGAGGGGTGAAAAAACAGGCTTCCAATCCAGCTACTGAACTCTCCATCACCCTGCAAAAGCCAGATAGCTTCTAAGCACCCTCTTCACCGAGCAAGCACCATTTAAGCCAATTTAAATCTCAGCTCCTTCTAATCCTTCAGGCCCAACTTCAAAGACATTTCCGGGATAAGCAAAAGCCTCGCTTCGACAACCGCCGTCCCGCCTCACCTATACGCCATTTCCCTTCGGTTCTTTTCGGAAGCGGTCGAGAAGTCTCGGGGCGTCCCGCGAAGAGCCAACCTAAAGAGGGGAGCCGCGGTGCGTCGACCGCTCGGGCATCTTCGGCACATCCAGTTGTTTTTCTCGGCCATTTCCGAGTTTCTTCGGCTGTTTCCGTTTCCGCTCGGGGAATTCCGGCTCCGCTCGGTCTCCGGGGAAGCAGCAGCAGCAGCAGCAATAGCAGCAGCGCCGCCGCCGCCGCTGCCGCACCAGTAGTTCGAAAAGTCTTCGCGGAATGGAAGGTACGCGCGAAGGCCCCCTCCCCTCCCCGTGGTGGGCTGGCGACGAGGCGGGGAGCCACGCCCCTCGTGGCTACGGGGCTTTCTAGAGAGGAGGTCTTGTTGGCGTCACCCAGTCTGAGGCAAGGTCAGAGGTCACGATCGGGTTAGGGCTTGCAAAGTTTGTTGGCTGAGCGATGTGGAAGATGGGGGAGAGGCGGTCCTGGGTTCCGGTCTAGCTCTGCTTGTCATTTCCCCATTCCTGTTTTTTTTGCAAGAGCCTCAGAGGGTGCAGGATGTGGGTGTGCCCCCTGCCCCGAATCTCTCAGGGGACCCCGATCCTGAAGAGACCATCCGAAGCCTGCAGGCCCAGTTGGCAGCCGCCTTGGCCGAAGTAGAGACAGTCCGAGCTGTGGCGGCAGTGAGCGAAGGCACCAAGCAGGAGGCTGTGGAGGCTGTCCAGCGCCGGTGCCAGGAAGAGGTGGCTTCCTTGCAGGCTATCTTGAAAGGTGAAGAGCACTGCAGGTCGTGGTGGGTGGGGAAGGGACCGGGTTGTTTTGCCTGAGTGCCTTAAGCCCTTCCTCCCAGACCTGAGGGCAGGACCATAAATCAGCTGGTGGCACTCAAAGGTTTATTTCCTTTATAGACACCATTTCCAGCTATGAGGCCCGTCTGTCAGCTTTCCAGCGTGACACCCGGGAGAATGCTTGGAGCCGGTTGCTGCCAAGGAGCAGCCCTCTGGACTCACTGGAGAAACAGATGGAAAAAGTAAGCAATGCACAACCAGAATCTCACTGGGAGGACTGAACTGAGTTTCCAGGTGGGGGAAAAAACCGGCTGCTTTTTGTCTCTCTCCTCTCTCCACAGGCGCAAGAGGACACCCAGCGACTCCGGGCCATTGTGCTGCCGATGGAACAGGAAATTGCTGAGCTGAAAGCAAAACTGGCCCATGCTGAGAGTCTGGTTCAGGAGCTGCAGGGTGAGGAGGTAAGATGGGAAGAGAGGGAAAGCGGGACAGGAGGAAAGGTTAATATTGGAAGGGATGGGTGAAAGCTGCTTAATAGGATAAAAAACTGAGGAAAGAAGGGTACAAAATGTACCTGAAGTTGATGGCTATCCCAGAATAAATGGATGCCAAGCCTTTGTGCACGTGATACCAGAAATTTAAGTCTGCAGGTCTGCACCTGACTGTTGCAGGTGGATCTCTAAAAAGGATATAGACTGCAAGCAAGACAGAATTGAATGACTGGGACAGTGAATGAGTGGTGGGAGGACAGAGTAAATTTTACAGGATGGTTAAAAGCATGGCAAAGTTGTTGTAGATGAATCATTAATGGAAGACACTTGTAAACTACCAGAAGTTAAATGTTTGCTCTCCCACTTTTATAAGGTACTGCTCAGAGTTTTAATTAATTGGGGCAGGTCATAAATACGTTTGAATAAATGAGGGAAAGTTCTTTATGTCTGGTTAAAGATATTTATTTATTTACTGAAAGGCACGTGCTTCCTGTTCTTCTGATTCTAGGCAGCTTACAACACATGAAATAAAACATTAATAAAATCCACCAATAAACCCACTAAGTAACCTTAATCCTATTAAAAACTATAAATAAACCAGTAGCTGCTATCAGAAATCTGAACACTTTCTTAAAGTGGATGGTTTTTTTGGCTCATCTGATACATCAGGGCAGGGACACATCTAACCTGGAGGGGCAAGGTGTTCCAGGGGAAGAGGGACATTACTGAGAAAGTTCATCTCTGGGTCCCAGCTTCCTCCCCCCACCACCCGATTTCTTTCAGTATAGGTATCCAGAGCATCCTTTCTCTATTACAGTGTTGTCCAAACTTGGCCGCTTTAAGATGAGTGGACTTCAACTCCCAGAATTCCCCA